AGCTATCACAAATGAGGGAATCCATGCAATCTTTCTCTGGGTCTGGCTTACGTGATATGATTTTTCCAAGTCTTTTCATTTCTTTATGAATGGTACAATATCATAGATGAGTAAAATTCCATTGCGTGTATATATACTGCATTTTCTTGATCCATTTGTCAGAAAATTTTAATGTATAATTAAACTAGACTTTCTCTTCTGGGGAGAAATTCACCTATTTACCTGACTCCTAGATTAGAGTCCTTTGACCAAAATGCATTGTTTCTTTTCTTTTTCTGAACTCGGGACCTTGCACATGCTAGTCAAATATGAGCTACAGGGCTGGGAAGGTGGCTTAGTGGTAGAGCACTTGCCTTGCATGCCTGAGGCCTTGGGTTTGATTCCTTAGCACCACATAAGCAAGAAGAAAAAAGCCGGAAGTGGCGCTGTGGCTCAAGTGGTAGAGTGCTAGCCTTGAGCTGAAGAGCTGAGGGACAGCGCCCAGGCCCAGAGTTCAGGCCCCACGACTGGACCCAAAAAAAAAAAAAATGTATATATGAGCTACATTTCCCACTACAAAAAAGTGATGAGCCAAGGTCAAGAAAGAGCCCTTTAAGCCAGGCGCTGGTGGATCACGCCTGTAATCCTAGCTACTCAGGAGGCTGAGATCTGAGGATCGTGGTTCAAAGCCAGCCCGGGCAGGAGAGACGGTGAGACTCCTATCTCCAATAAACCACCAGAAAACCGGAAGTGGTGCTGTAGCTCAAGTGGTAGAGCGCTCGCCTTGAGCTGAAGAGCTGAGGGACAGCACCCAGGCCCAGAGTTCAAGTCCCACGACCGACAAAAAAAAAAAAAAAAAAAAGAGCCCTTCAAACCAAGACTCCTCCCAAAAGTATACTGTTTTATTCTAATAGAGGGATTGATTGGCAGGTTGTCTTTCCCACCCTGCTCCCTGCCCTCAGGTTGAACTGAATGGTTATGTCTATTCCAGCCAAGAGAGAAGGAAGATTACTTGTGCAGGTTATCAGAGAACAAGATGCTCAACTAAACTTGAATTCGATGTAACTTTCTGTCTGAGGTATTACATTATTGATTATGTATCTGGAATTCATATTTAACTGAGTGTCCTGTGCTTTTGTTTATTGAATCTGACAAAACTTCTTGGCTAATCTAGGTCACAAAGTATCATTTTGACTGGAAAAGACAGTCTTGAGGAATTGAAGATAAGTTAGATGGAAGTGGAGAAAGCCTTTGGAAGAGGAATTCAGACATCATTCTGTAGAAAATGGAGGCCAACTGCACATTTTGTTTTGTTTTAAGGTCTGAGACTGGGACTTGAACTTGGTAGTTGATAATTTTACTCACTGGCTAGCACTCTACCAACAGAGCTACTTCTAAAAACAAAACAATATTTTTTTCAACTTTTTCTAATTTTAAAAACAAGTATAGCTGGGTGTTGGTAGCTCACACCTGTAATCCTAGCTACTCTGGTGGCTGAGACCTGAGAATTGCAGTTTGAAGCCAGCCAGGGCAGGAGAGTCCCCAAGACTATTGTCTCCAATTAATTACCAAAACCCCCCAAAAGAACAACTATAACAAAAAAAACCCTCAGGGCTAGGAAGGTGGCTCAGTGGTAGAGTGCTTGCCTTGCATGCATGAAGCCATGGGTTTGATTCCTCTGCACCACATAAGCAGAAAAAGCTGGAAGTGGCGCTGTGGCTCAAGTGGTAGAGTGCTAGCCTTGAGCTGAAGAGCTGAGGGACAGCACCCAGGCCCAGAGTTCAGGCCCCACAACTGACAAAAACCAAAACAAGACAAAAACCCTCAAAAATCCAGAAGTGAATCTGTGGCTCGAAGTGGTACTAGCCTTGAGCAAAAAAGCTCAGGGACAGAGCCTAAACCCTGAGTTCAAATCTCATGACCTACAAAAAAAAAAAGCAGGAGCCGGGCGCTGGTGGCTCACGCCTGTAATCCTAGCTACTCAGGAGGCTGAGATCTGAGGATCGCGGTTCAAAGCCAGCCTGGGCAGGAGAGACCGTGAGACTCCTATCTCCAATAAACCACCAGAAAACCAGAAGTGGCGCTGTAGCTCAAGTGGTAGAGCGCTCGCCTTGAGCTGAAGAGCTGAGGGACAGCGCCCAGGCCCAGAGTTCAAGCCCCACGACTGACAAAAAAAAAAAAAAAAAAGCAGGTATGTAGCTGAAATAATATATATATATATGTGTGTATATATATATGGAAAATACAGAAACATATATGAGAAAGGATTCATAATTCCACCAACCAGAAGTAACAACTCTATATTTGCTGATAATCATCTCTAAGTTGATGCCCATTTAATACCTTCTCCAGTCTGTTTTGGCCACCCTAGCCTTACTACTTACTGTCTCACATATCTTGTTTTATTTTTTATCTCCATAATTATGTTGTATGATTCATCTTTTTTTAGTTTGGATTTTGTTTTATTGGTGGTACTAGGCTTTAAAAGTCAGGGCAATTGCATGAATGCTCTAGTATTTGAGCCACACCCTCAGCCCTTTTGGGCATTTAGTTTCTCTTCACTGTTTTAATAGGTACAGTCTACAGCTTCTGCCTAGGGAAAACTTAAGATTTCATTCTCCCTCCCTCCTAAGCAGGTGGGATTGCAGACATGAGCTACCATGCCTGGAATTATAGCCACTTTTCATAAACTCTGTGCTTGGAAGTCATATGTAATATGAAGTAATATGCACAATATCATTTTTCTTTCAAGACCTCAGCTCTTGTTAATTGGAACATTTTTGGTTTCATACTACTGAACCTACTATACATCTCAAATATCCACTCAATTTAATGGATGATAACAAGGAGAATTCTAAGAGAATAGAATACCTTTGGAGAACCAGGTGTTTTCTTCTCCTAGATTACTCATTACTGTAATCCTAACTACTCAGGAAGCTGAGATCTGAGAATTGTTGTTCAAAGACAGCTGGGGCAGGAAAGTCTGTGAAACTCGTATTGTCATTAATTTTTTTTTTTTTTAAGCCAGAAGTGTCTGAAGTAGAAGTGTTAGCCTCAGGGACAGTGCCCAGGCCCTGAGTTCAAGCCCCAGGACTAGGAAAGGAAAGGAAAGGAAGGAAGGAAGGAAGGAAGAAAGAAAGAAAGGAGGGAGGGAGGGAGGAAGGAGGGAAGGAAGGGAGGAAGGAGAAAGAAGGAAGGAAGGAAGGAGGGAGAAAGAAGGACGGAAGGAAGGAAGGAGAAAGAAGGAAGGAAGGAAGGAAAGAAAGAAAAGAAAAACAACAACAAACACAAAAAAACTGTTTGGTTTCCAATAGTTGCCATAATTAATATAACCATGTAAATTATATCACCACAGACACCTTCAAAAATGAAGATTGTGCCATTGATATTTACACCAGGACAAAGATAAAGCCAAGAAACTGTTTCAGGTAAAACAGAATGTAGAATTGCTCTGGCTATAGTGATAAAACCACTCAATATCCCTGTGTGATTTAAGATTAAGACCAGAGAAAAATATGTGTTAGGCACAGGTGGTTCATGCCTGTAATCCTAGCTACTCAGGAAACTGAGTTCTGAAGATCTCAGTTGGAAACCCACTGGGCAGGAAGGTCCCTGAGATTCTTATCTCCAATTATTACCAAAAAGTTAGAAAATTAGTTGTGGATCGAGTGGTAGAGTGCTCAGAGACAGGGCCAATGCCCTGAGTTCAAGCCCCAGGATTGGCAAGAATAACAACAACAAAAAGAATTAATTGTGCTTCTTGGTGAGGATGGTGGCCATGCTGGAGAGAGGAGAGGGGAAGGGTGGAGGCTGAAACCAAGGGATGGGGAGGGAGGAATCAATCTTCTCTTGAGACAACAGGGAGGAGAAAGGGTTAGATGTTAATGTGTTGAGGCATAGAGTTTAGGTGGTACTGGTGAATATTGTTATAGTCAGAACAAACACTATAATCTGCAGGAGCTGGTGGCTCACATCTGTAATCCTAACTCTGGAAGATTGAGGCTCAACCCCAGCCCATGCAGAAAAGAGACTCCATTTCCAATTAATGAGCAAAAAGCTGGGTTGGAGGAGGCTGACATCTGAGGATCATGGTTCAAATCCAGCCTGGCCGGGAAAGTCCCCAAGATTCTTACCTCCAATTAACCACTAAAAAGCAAGAAGTAGTGGAGCTGTGTGGCTCAAGTGGTAGAGCTCTAAGCCTTTGAGAAAAAATATCTAAGGGACACTGCCCAGACCCTATGTTCAAGTCCCAGTACTGACATATGCACACACACACACACACATACACACACAAAGCCAGGCTGGAGGCATGGTTCAAGCAATAGAGCACCAGTTGAGCAAGCAATCCCTGCAACCCAAGGCCCTATGTTCAAACCCCAGTACTGGCAAAGAAAACAAAATAAAGTTCTCAACAAGGGAAGTCAAGGATTAGAGAAACACAGAAGGAAGATGCACACAGAAGCCAAACAAAGCAAGGAATTAGCACAGATGGAAATATTGAAGACATGCAAGGGAGCTCAGCAGAGGACAGAGGACTATAGGAGCTGTGGGGAAAGAAAAAGGCAACAGGAAAAGCCTTTCAAAAGCTTCCAGTCACTCCTTCCTCTCCCTACCTATGCAGACACAAAGTCCCTGTCAGTGGACTTTGGTGTCCTGGTTTTTCTGGGCTCAATCAACTGCCTTAAAAATGTATCTTTGTGAGTCCAAAGTTCAGGACACCTTGCCCTAATTTATAAGCAGCATACATTCAATCACAATATCCATTTACTCTCAAGAGGTACTGAGATAGGATTGTCTGCGTTTTTTTTTCTCTTTTTATAATATTTTCTACTTTTGAATTTTTACTTTTTTTTTTTTAACCATTCATTTGCTTCCCCTCCCATGCTATCTTTGTTTCTTTCCTTCCTGATCCTTCTGTTTGGTAGACTCTCTGACCTCCACCTCCTCTTTTCCTAGATCCACTGTCAACCACAGGTTTTGAGACTGTACACTTGAGAACCTCTGTACACCAGAGGATCATCATGGCCAGCCAGCAGCTCACCAGCAATCTCCAGGATGAAGTGATCTGCTCAATCTGCATGGACACCCTTCAGGAGCCTGTCACCACTGACTGCGGACACACTTTCTGCCTCAGATGCATCTCTCAGGTTGGAAGCTCATCAGATGAGCTTCTCAAATGTCCCCTGTGCCAGAAGTTTGTGCAGAGGAGCACAATCAGGCCCAACTGGCTGGTGGTCAACCTGGTGGAGAGAATCCAAGCTATTGATCCCTCTGAGATCCAACCAGAAGAGAGAGAGATGAGATGTCCAAAGCATGGAGAAAAGATCCATTACTTCTGTGAGCAAGATGGGGAATTCCTCTGTGTTGTGTGCCGGGACTCCAAGGACCACCGATCCCATAATCCCAGCTTGATAGAAGAAGCTGCCCAGAATTATCAGGTAGGCATGTGGGGCCCTTTCTCTACCCCATCTTCCTGCCCTCTATCAGAGGAGGATTCAGAAGGGGTTTGGAACTGTTGCCTACTCCAGGTGACAGTTTGGTTTGAATTTGTTGACCAACTCCTTTGCACTTGAGTGAGCAGTCCACAGTCAGGTACAGTGGGATCAAGCCGTCTGGGAAATATTGCCCTTTTGCAATCAAGGTATGAGGGAGAATGGTCCAGATTTGAATTTTGAATCAGATGGTTTGGATTCAAGTTCAGGCTCTTGAGTTTAAATATGACCATTGAAGAGTTACTTTACCACCTTCAACCCGCCATCCTCACCATTCAGTGGATCAAGTCTAGGTCCTGGCACATGTTATGCAAATGTTCCTCCCCTGAGCTATAAGCTATATCCTCTGCCTCACCTAACAAACTGACCAGGGGAGCTGGGGATGTAGCCCAGTGGTAGAGTGCAAGCTTGTCTAGCATGTACTAGTCACTGGTCCTTAGCTTCTGAGAGGAAGAAAAAAGGAAGAAGGAAGTGGGTGAACAAAACCTATCTGTTGACAGACAAGGAAAAGGTTGTGGGATTTCTTTGTTAATCCCCAAACGCCATCCAAATGAATTAGTAACAGAATGAGTCATGAGTAGCAAATCTTTTCTTTTAGATCATTAAAAGTTCTAGATTTCTCCAGTCCCACTCCTCAGCACTCATCCTACCCAGGAGAGTCTCCCCTGCTCCTCTGAGGGACTTGGGTGGGTTTTAGGAGGTAGAGTAGCGCCTGGTACAGCCTGCCCAAATGGCTCTCCCTCTCCCCTCCAGGGGCAGATTCAATCAAAGTTGGAAGTCTTGCTGCAAAAGGAGAAGGAAATAATACTAGAGAAGATAAAAGGTGAACATAAAAATGATTTCTTCCTGGTAAGAAAGAACTTTATTTCTTGTGGTGCTCAGAAACTGTACCATCCAAGCTCCAAAAATCCCTTTACACTGACCCTCCAAAAAGCATCTATGGGGCTGGGAAAGTGGCTCAGTGGTAGAGTGCTTGCCTTGCATGCATGAGGCCCTGGGTTCGATTCCTCGGCATCACATAAGCAGGAAAAGCCAGAAGTGACGCTGTGGCTCAAGTGGTAGAGCGCTAGCCTTGAGATGAAGGACAGTGCCCAGGCCCAGAGTTCATGCCCACAACCGATTTAAAAAAAAAATTATATATATATATATATATATATATATATATATATAGTAATCCCTCTCAAAAAGCATCTATGACAAAGAAGGTAGCACAGAGCAGGGTGGGGTACAGGGAGGTCACACTGGGGACATGGGGGAACCCACAAGGGGACATCGGGGCCAGATGCAAACAGGCTTTTGCTGACTGCACCACTTAACCTGCCTGAGCACCTCCTCACCCCACCTTGTCTCCAGCCGTGCCCAGGCGGTATAAGGAAACCCACACTGGTCTTAGAATAGGAAATGCTAGTTTTAAAAGCAGGTTCTGGAGCTAGACGTCTATGGCTGATGCCTGTAATCCTAGCCACCTGAGAGGCTGAGATCTGAGGATTGCATTTTTAAGCTGGCCCAAGCAGGAAAGCCCGTGACACTTGTCTCCAATTAACCAGCAAAAAGCTGAAAGTGGAGCTGTGACTAAAGTGTAGAGCATTAAGCCATAAGTAAAAAAGCCACACAGGAACAAAAGGCCTTGAATTCAAGCCATAGTCACACACACACACACACACACACACACACACACACACACACACACACACACACACACACACACAGTGTACCATGCTCTGCCCCTCCCAGATCTACACACACACACACACACTGTACCATGCTCTGCCCCTCCCAGATCTACACACACACACACACACACACACATACACACACACACACACACACACACACACACACACACTGTACCATGCTCTGCCTCTCCCAGATCTACACACACACACACACACACACACACACACACACACACACAGTGTACCATGCTCGGCCTCTCCCAGATCTTCACTGGAGAGACTGATTCTCCATTTGGAAATGCCACCTCTACTTTCACCTGTTTTGTTTTGTTTTGTGTTTGGTGTGTCCAAGGGAAAAAAGATCTATGTAAGAGCAAGTGGTAAATAAACCAAAAAGCCTCAGGAAATGTGAGTTTTAGACACTTACATCCTTGAAAGTAAAGTGATAAAACGTAATTCAAGCCAGGCACCAGTGGCTCACACTTGTAATCCTAGCTACTCAGGAGGCTGAGCTCTGAGGATTGCAATTCAAAGCCAGCCCAGGCAGGAAAGTCGGTGAGACTCTTATCTCCAATAAACCACCAGCACCAGAGGTGGTGCTGTGGCTAAAGTAGTAGAGCACTAGCCTTGAGCTGAAGAGCTGAGGAACAGTGCCCAAGCCCAGTATTCAAGCCCCATGACCGAACAAAACAAACAAAACAGAAAAAAAAAAGCCCACCTAATTCAATCTAAACCTGAGAACATGGGAAATGCCTTCACAGTTGGTGCCCCCCTCTCCTGTCCCGAGAGTCTGCCGCAGCTTGCTGTGTCTACATTGGAAGTCAGAACAGAGTTGAAACACTCCCTACTTGAAGGTCAGCTGGGAGGACCTGGGAGGCCGCCACCCTTTCATCTCCACATTCTTCCCCTTGTGCCAGAACCAGGTGAGGCTGGAGAAGCAAAGGATCAAGCAACATTTCAGATTCCTGCGGCAGAGCCTAGAAAAGGAAGAGAATTTCTTCCTGGCCAGGCTTCACTGGCTAGAGATGGAAGGAGCCAAGGGGAAGAAGTTCTATTCCATTTCTACCCAGGCACAGCTGAACTCGCTTGAGAAGCTCATCAAGTCCCTGAAAAACAAGCAGCAAATGCAGCCCAGACAGCTGCTGGAGGTGAGTTTCTTGGAGCAGCACTACCCAGAGGTAGCAGTGCATCCTCCCCCCTCCCTGTCCCAGGCCTGCACATGGACCAGCTGACTGACTGATTGCTGAGACTCTCGCACCCACCTCTAGTCTGTGAGCAAGAAGATATGAGCCCCACATACGATTTAGAATTATACTGAGGTCCAATGTGTGATATAGAAATATGTGAGCCACATGTGACATCTAGAAATATAATCGGAACCACATATGTAATTTAGAAATACATTTCAGTCACGTGTGGACTTCCACTTTTTTTTTTTAGTGGCTACAATAAAAAGATGAAAAAGATACAGGTAAAGCCAGTTATTCATGTGTATAATTCTAGCTACTCAGAAAGATGAGAGAGCTGGAGAATCATGATTTGAAGCCAGCCAGGGGAGAAAAATCCCTTGAGACTTAACTAATGAACCAGCAAAAAGTGGAGCTGGAGGTATGGCTCAAATGGTAAAGTATCAGCCTAGCATGTATGAGACCCTGACTTCAAGCCCCAGTTGCCATCACAGGAAAGAAAGGAAGGAAGGAAATAAAAAAGAGAGAGAAAGGGAGGAAGGAAAAGAAAGGAGAGAAAGGAAGGTGGGAAGGAAGGAAGGAAGGAAGGAACTCATGCAAAGCCATTGCATTGCTCTGATCCTGCTTGCAAGTCTCCTGACTCAGTCTCAGAAACAAAATTCATCTTTTTTTTTTTTTTTGTCCGTCATGGGGCTTGAACTCTGGGCCTGGGCGCTTTCCCTCAGCTCTTCAGCTCAAGGCAAGCCCTCTACCACTTGCGCTACAGCGCCACTTCTGGTTTTCTGATGGTTACCTGGAGATCAGAGTCTCACGGACTTTCCTGCCTGGGCTGGCTTTGAACCATGATCCTCAGATCTCAGCCTCCTGAGTAGCTAGGATTACAGGCGTGAGCCACCAGCACCTGGCACAAAATTCATCTTTGGAACCTCACTTATTTGGTTCTTCTTGAGGTGTTATCATAGTCCTGTGTACTGGTCTATCAAGAGCTTCTTGGAGCAGCCCTCCAAGTAGTGGGGGGGGGGAGGGAGGGAGGGAGAGACCCTGAGATGTTCATACTCTACTTCCAGGAGGGTCCAAACCTCCTCCTTGGTTCCCATGCTCTATTCAGAGGCTAAGGCTGTGCTATCTGTTTCTCTTCCAGGACATCAAAACTCTCCTGTCCAGGTATGGTAGAACACCCAGAGCCTAGTGCTTCCTGAGTCACTCATGTTCCTAGCACTCAACAGAAATCCAAACACACCCCACCTCCTCTGCCGTGAATACCCATACACTCTGCAGCCAACTGTTGATGCTTCAGGTAGACACTTGAGCATAGGGGTTGGTGGGCGAAGAAAGCTGTTTTCTCTGGCTTTCTGGCTCTTCAGCACACAGTCTATTTCCTGGCACCTCCTACATGTCCCTTGCTTGTTTTGGTAGGGCCTAGCACCCTTGCTCACTCAATCTCTCTCTGTTCCCCTCTTTCCCTTCTCTTCTCTCTGCAGTCAAGTCCATTTCCACATTCCCTCAAGTTCATTCCCAAATTCATTCTGGCCCCACGTCCCTGGCCTGGCCTCCCCACCCTCAGCTCATTCCCTCCCCAGACAGTCTTCCATCCCTGTGTGTCTCCCTCCCCATCCTACGATCTAACCACCCAGCTCAGCTATGTATTTATAGGAGCAACGTATTTCAATTTCTCAACCCAACCCCAGTTCCTGAGGGGCTGGAGAAAAAATTCAACGAAGCAAAATCCAGTCACAATGTCATCACAGAGAACTTGAGAAAATTCAAAGGTAAGGAAAAGGCTGCCAGCGCCCTGATTGGCCAGCTGCTCTAGAGGATTATGTCCCCATCACCCCCAGGTGGCCTGTAACTCCTGGGTGCTGGCAATCATCACTGGATCCTTCAAATGCCAGCTTGTCTGGCAACACTCTGCTATCCTTTTGCTCTGTTGTCTGCCTTTGCTTTCTTGGCATAGCCATGGAGGGGACCTGAACTTCCTTCTTCCTCAAGAGGGCGCTCTCCTCAGTGCAGTGGCTGTCAGCAATCTGGTGTTTATTTGTCTGGGGGATACAAAAGGGACAATGTTACATTCCTCAGTACCACATAAACAGAGAAAGCCAGAAGTGATGCTGTGGCTTACGTGGTAGAGTGCTAGCCTTGAACAACAGAAGCTCAGGGACAGAGCCCAGGCCCTGAATTCAAGCCCCAGGACTGGCAAAAAAAAAAAAAAGACAAGTGAGACACTAAAGCAGAGGAGGTGTTTAATGTCTGGCAAGGGGCTCTTCCTGGCTACATAAGAAGAGAAATATCCATTGGAAGCTGATGATGTTTTGAAGGAAATATTTCTACCTCCTTTCCAGGAAATAGAAACTAACCAGATCACAGCTGGATAGACAGGGGCATAGATGTTCTGTCAGATAGTTTTCAAACTTGTCTAGGTTTGCAGTTGGGAAGCAGAGCTGGCATGTGTGAAGACTTTTTCTTTTCTCTCTTTTCTTTCTCTCTCTTTTCTTTCTCTCCTTCCTGTCTTTTCTTTTTTCTTTCTTTCTCTCTTTCTTTTTTCTTTCTTTCTCTCTTTCTCTCTCTTTCTCTTTCTTTCTTTCTTTCTCTCTTTCTCTCTTTCTTTCTTTCTTTCTTTCTTTCTTTCTTTCTTTCTTTCTTTCTTTCTTTCTTTCTTTCTTTCTTTCTTTCTTTCTTTCTTTCTTTCTTTCTTTCTGTGTTGGTCCTGGGGCTTGAACTCAGGTCCTGGGTACGGTCTCTGATCTTTTTTTGCTCAAGGCTAGTGCTCTACCACTTGAGCCACAGAGCCACTTCTGGCTTTTTCTGAGTAGTTTATTGGAGATAAAAGAGTCTCATGGACTTTCCTGCTCAGGGTGGCTTTGAACCCTGATCCTCAGATATCAGCTTCCTGGGTAGCTAGGATTATAGGCATGAGCCACCAGTGCCTGCTTGTGAAGACTTCTTTTACTGCTTCTTATCCTGTACTAAGCTAGAAGCAGACAGCTGAGTAGAGTCTTCTTTCTAGAAAGATCCCAGGAATCCCATACCCCTTTCCCAGAACAGCATTTTGATCCTGCCAACTTTGCTGTTTAAGCTTTGCTTTCTGGCAATAACTGCTCTGCGTTTCCCAGTGCTTCCAGCCCATCACATATAACTGCAACAAACAAGCAACTTGACAGACGCTCAGGTCTAAAGCATTTGGTTTCTGTGTTAGAGTTTTAGAGAAGGATATCCCTGCAGATTTGAGAGGTAGACATGCTCTATCATCTTCTCTATTCTCTGTGTGTGTGTGTGTGTCCCTCTATATCTTTCTCTATCTTTATTTCTCTCTGTCCCTCTCTCTATGTGCCTGATTGTCCATCTGTCTGTCACACACTCATACACCCCCCACCCGCACCCCACAGAGTCCCCAACTCCCACCTGGCCCAAGGGAATGGAGGGAATGAAGAAGTGACAAGGAGTCTACTTACACCATGGGTCCAATCTCCATGGTTCCCTCTGCTGAAGCTCACTGCTCCACGTTCGGGGATTCCTGGGCATGGAAACGGGTGTGAGAATGCCTGGACTTCAAAGTGTATCAAGGGCCTCATAGATGTGGTGCTCCCAGACAGTTTCTTCTGGCTGTCATTCGGCTGATCCCTCACATGAAGGTCACTGTGTCTCTCCTGGCTCTTCTCCATAGCTGAGCTATTAGCTCTCAGGGGAGCTGCCCACCATTCTCCCTCTGTGTCCTCCTGCAGCTGGTGCTTGGCACAGAGACCACAAGGAACTCAGTCTAGCACTCTCACAAGAAACCTAGGCCAGGCAGGAACCATTGTCCCCGAAGGAAAAAATGTAACCTAGGTAGAAAGTTACCCCCAAAGAAAGTAATGCAAAAAACCACATGGACAGAAGTCAAATAGAAGAAAGATATATTGCCAGCAGAGCTAACAAGGCCAAGTGCTCTTGAAGAAAGGGAGAAAATGATGCCGTCTGGCTCCTTGGAGGCCCCTTTTATGTCACCAGGGCAGGAAGTGGGAGGTGCCTCACCTACTACGCAGTGGCTGCCATCGAGATCAGAGCTTGGGTCTACAAGGTGGGCCTTTTCTTAAGAGTTCTCAGTTCTAGGCCCAGCCTTTCACTGCCCAGAGGAGTCTCTGGCCCCTGCCTATCAGCAGCAGGAGTGCTGTGGGCAGGCCTTCCATGTCTGCTCTGGGAGGAAAGGGCTGCCCATCAGGAGCTTGATTCCTTTTCCCCTTAAACACTCTCTCATGGAGAGAAGGGTGGGATTGCCCTCCAAGCACCAGAATGTGGGACAAGCTCCCCCCGCCACTCTTTCTGCACCCTGCTCCTGCATGGCAGCTCCACAGCAAGCGCAGTGTACCTCTTGTTGTGGCATTTTGGGGATCTTGGTTTTGTCGGCTGGGTGGTGTGTAAAGGGCTAGATGTATGTACCTGCTAACTGTATGTGCCATCAAACACTGAGACATAGTTCTAACTCAAATAGGCAGCATTTGAGGGTTCCATAAGACTTAGTATGCAAATGGAACGTAAAATATAAGCAATACTTTTCTTCAGTGGTATCTTACTATGTTACCCAGGCTGGGCTTGATGTGGTGGGCTTAAATGATATTCCTGCTTCAGCCTCTTGGGTAAGCTAGGACAACAGGTGTTAGCCACTGAGCCCAGATGCAGACATACATGTGCACGTGCGTGTGCACACACACACACACACACACACACACACACATTTGGTGGGAGAAGTACTGGTGTTTGAACTCATACCCCTTGAACTATACCCCCTATCCTTTTTTGATTCTAGTTATTTTTTCAGATAAGGTTTCCAGTTTGTTCTCCAAATTGCCTCCCTGCTTAATCTGTCTGAAGTCTCTCCATGTCCTTCTGTTCTCTACCCCATAGAAAACCTACAGACTGAAAAGAAGAAAGATGAAGCCAGATTCCTCAAAGGCCTGGATGAAAAGGACAAGAAGAGCTGTAAGTGGAGACTGGCGGCTGCTGCTTGTTGTGCGGGGAAGTGGGAATGCAAAGGGAAGGATTCTTTCTCTACAAGAGGTCCCCATATGGGTGCAGAGCAAGCCAGTCAGCTGAGAACAGGTTTATACAGATATGTTTTATTTATTTACTTATCTAGGTTGGTTGTGAGGCTTGAACTTGGGGACTGAGTGCTGTCCTTGAGCTTTTTGGCTCAAGGCTAGTGCTCTACAACTGTGAGCCACAGCACTATTTCCAGTGTTCTGTTGGTTAGTTGGAAATAGGATTCTCATGGACTTTCCTACCCAGGCTGGCTTTGAACTGCAATCCTCAGATCTCAGCCTCCTGAGTAGCTAGGATTACATACAGGTATGAGCTACTGCCTTCCAGCTGTTTGGTTTTATGGTGCTGACAATCAAATCCCAACCTCCACATGTGCCAGGGCCACTGGTGCCTGGCTGGCTGTTTTAACTTTGCAACGTTCTGGTAATAAATTTGTTTTCTCTCTCCATTTCCTAGGGAACATGTTAGAGAAAAACAATCCAGAATCGCCCTCCCCAGGTAGGAGTCCTGCCCTGCCCACTGAGTCTTCCTGTGGGGACCTTAGAGTGACAAATGCTCTATCCCAAGCAGTCAGGAATATATTAGGAAAGGTAGAGATTACATTGCAGAAATAACTTCCTAATGTGCAAGTCAGGATGGAAAGGGAAGAAGGTAGAGCAAAAGGAGGGGGAATTTAAAGATACTGTAAGGAAACGCCCCCTCGCAGACCTAATCTCCGCCCTCGATGGCAGCGCCTGCGCAGTCGGTGAGGCACCGCCCACTTCTGGCCCCCAACAGCATCAAAGGGTCCCCCTGAGGTACCAGCCAGGGCATTTCTCTCCCCTCCTCAGGGGAGCTTGAGATTGTTAGCTCTGCTAACATTGAATCTGGTCTCTCCTCTGACTTTTTCGTCCGTATAGTCTTTGGGGCGCCATTTTTACTTTCATTTTGGGTGCGGAAAGCCGGGATCGGTTCCCCAGGGCATGGTCCTCCTCGGTTGGCCTCAGTTCCAGCAGCACTGCGAGCTGCAGGGTGGGGGCTTCTTGTTGGCTCCTCCCACTGACCTCTCGTTTCTCTTTTCCTTTTCCCTCAATACAATGAACAACTAAACTCTTCAACTGGCACCATGGCATGCCCCTTCCTCCCCCGGGCCTCCCTTGCTGGGACAGTCACTTCCATTTTGTTCCAAGCACGAAGCAGGGCTTCTTATGTCGAGGTTCCTCGAGACAGAATCAACTCTGAGAACACCGGGTCGGGGCGGATTGAAGACCCACGCTCAGCCTTGAGTGAGTGACTGAAGATGTCCAGTGTCCCGGGTTAAGCAGAGTGGGGCCTCGGGGAGAGGCCCGAGCTACTGATCGTGGAGATGGGATGGTGGTCATGGTGGTGAAGGAATGAAGGAGTAGTTGAGCAAAATCAAAGGAATAGGACCACCCCTGACCTCTGGTGCACCTTCTTTTTTGGCTTCTTCTTGTTGCTTTGGCTAGGGCTCCCCCTAGTGGATTAAAGCTATCTCTACAACTGTCTCTCTGGTTCCTCTTACCCAACCCTCTCTCCCTACCGCCCCCCACTTTTTTTGGTGTCAGTACTGGGGTTTGAACTCAGAACCCGGACACTGGCTTTTTTTCTTTTTCTTTTCTTTGTGCCGGCACTGGGGCTTGAACTCAGGGCATGAAAACTGCCCTTTAGCTTTTTCTCTTAAGGCTAGTGCTTGACCGCATGAGCCACAGCTCCATTCCACTTCCAGCCTTTTGGTGACTAATTAAGAAATGAATCTCCTGGACCTTCTTGCCAGGGCTGGCTTTGAACCTCCATCCTCAGATTTCAGCCTCCTGAGTAGCTAGTATGACAGGTTTGGGCCACCTGTGTCCAGCATCAACTCTATTTTTTAAAATATTTTTATTGTTATAATAAAGGTCATGTACAGAGTGGTTTGAATTACCTAAGTCAGATAATGAGTATACATTTTTTGGACAATGTCACTCTTCCCAGTTCAACCCCATTTAAAAAAAAAACCGGAAATGGCACTGTGGCTCAAGTAGTAGAGCACTAGCCTTGAGCTGAAGAGCTGAGGGACAGCACCCAGGCCCAGAGTTCAAGTCCCACAACCAACAAAAACAAACAGAAACCTAATATTGCAGCAAACATTGAGATTAGATAACAAATCAGGAGATAAAATGAGGTCCACATTCCTAAATTTTGTGCCCATGACCTGGAATTCTTCCAGTTTGATCAGTTGTGACTCCCTGTCTAAATCTAATAAAAATGGGAGGATGAGGAGAGGAGTTCTTGGATATCCCTCCTCCTGTATCTCACCCCTCATTCTTGTGTTTGAGGGGATTTCACATTAGAAAGTCACAGCAGCTCAGCAAGACAGACCCTTGATTTCTCAAATTAGCACCAAGCCTTGTAAACAGGGAAGAGGTGATTTCATCTTTGAAATGATACCACCATGGGGCTGGACAGGTGGCTTAGTGGTAGAGTGTTTGCCTTGCATGCATGCGTCCCTGTGTTTGATTCCTCAGCACCACATAAGCAGAAAAAGCTGGAAGTGGCACTGTGGCTCAAGTGATAGAGCGCTAGCCTTGAGCTCAAGAGCTGAGGGACAGTGCCCAAACTCAGAGTGCAGGCCCCATGACCACCACCACCAACAACAAAAGAATGAAATGATACCACCATGATTAGCGGGGTGCTCCCCAATGGAACCACGAAACAGAATATGGTGAAACTTGGGATTAACTTTAAGGAGGGGACAGGAACTCAAACTTCCCTGGGGGCTTGAGCTATATTTGACTGAGAAAGCCTCCCTCCAAATGTGTAAAGGAGCTGGAAAATTAGAGTCAGGATAGCTTGATTTCAAGCTGTCCATCTTTCCCCTCATCTCTCCACAGTTGCTGTGACCCTGGACGCTGACACTGCTCATCCAGACCTCAGCCTCTCTCTGGATCTAAAGACAGTGACACTAGACTTTATCCCCCAGAGTGATTCAGCTGAGCCCACGAATCCCAAATGCTTCTATCCTTTCCGCTGCGTTCTGGGTTTACCAGGTTTTTCCATGGGCCGCCAGGCCTGGGAGGTGGAAATCCAAGGGCCCAGGGGTGGGGCCTCTGTGGTGGGCGTGGCCTCGGAACTGGTACCACGGAGGGGCCACTTGCGTCTGGAACCTTTGTTGGGCTTCTGGGCTCTGCGCATCTTTGGCTCAACGTGCCAAGCGCTCATCGAGAATTGTACCCGAAAGGATCTGCCAGTCTGTCCAAGGAAAGTGGGTGTCCTTGTGGATTACAACGACGGGAAGATCATCTTCTATGATGCCACCAACAACAATCACATTTACACCTTCCAAGCCTCCTTTCCCGGGCCGATCTTTCCTTTTCTCCGGCTCCTGTTACCAGGCACCCAGGTCACCCTGAGTCCCTAGGGTCTGACCCCCTCACTTTTGGATGTGCCACAGTTGTAGGATTGAAGCTAGACTTCCCGAGGCCCTTCTGAAGATGACACGGATGCAGGCTTGATGTTCTGACCCCATTTATAAGTTGTCTCCCCATCCCCCCCTAATATGCCTGGATCGGAAAGAAAAGCTCAAATATCTGAGAAGACTATGCTCAGGGCCATTCATTACAGCACTGTTTGTAACAGGACAAGACAGGACCATCAACAGGTAACGTTGGAAAAGCCTTGCTGAGAAAGCATCCTGGTTGAGGCTCAGGTGCAAGGCTGGACTGCTAATCTTGGATGCCGCTTTCCTCTCTGTATCGTTTTCTGTAGTCCCTATGGCTTTGAACATGCCTTGACCCATCGGGACCTCATGCTTTCCTGAGGTCTGAAAACTAGGATGCTTTTTCCTTTCAGACTCAGGCAGGATTGCTCCAATGCTACTTTACAAATGATACTAGCTATCTATGATTATGCTGCGTTTTACATAGGAAAAAGAGGCATTCAAACATACAGTTGCTTATAGTTCTCTTTTTAAGTAGAAAGACAACCAAAGCCTAGCAAAAAGTTCCTATTAGGGAGAGGTAAAACTAGGTAGAAGGAATGGAAATTAGTCTTTCCTAAATAGATTCTTTTTATATATTTGACTTTGATATCATGTAGATTTTTTACAGCATTGTAAAACAATTTAAATGGGACAAAATTAATCTGTGTAGTTGGTAGCTTACACAACAGGGAGAAATTATTTTAAGTGATTAACTAGCATGGTGCTGTGGGCCTGTAGTTCCAGCCATTTTTAAAGCTGAGGCAGGAGGACCACTTTAGTCTATAAGTTTGAGACTAGCCCCAGCAACATAGTTAAACCCTTTCACAAAAAGGAGAGAAGGGCTTGGAGGCATGATCTAAGTGGCAGAGCACCACCCAATGAGCAAAAGTTCAGATCTGGTGTTGGGAAAAAAAAAAAGACACTAAAAGTAATTTTAAAATGCAGCAATTTTGTTACAATTTTAGTAGGGTGTGTCCTAAGGAGCAAAACAAATAACAAATAAATCTTAACTTTTCAGTTATATCAGTAGGAATCACAATAGTGTTGTTGTCATTCTGAATCAATAAGGTTTATGTATATACATACATGGTAGGGCAAGGCAAATAATGAATTATGTTAGTGTTACTGAGAACTAGATTTTCAACCTAAAAATTAATTTTATCTTATGACTATGACACAAAAAAAGAGAAATAAACACACAGTTCTAGATTTAAATAGGAACACTGATTTAAAAAAAAAAACCTTATGTTGTATTCTCCTTCATAATAAAATGTATTTCTTTGCTTTGATCACAAAGGTCCAAAATTAAGCATTCTAAAACCTGTCATATCTTGATCTATCAGAATTATTTTGGCAATTCCATGGAGATGCAATCTGAAAAATCTCATCAGGCAAAGAAACAGTCTCTTCAAGAAAAAAATGTCTGGAGCCTTTGTACAATTAATGTATTCTATAAAAAAAAAAAACTGCTGGGAGAAAATAAGAAAAGGGAAACATACAAACTAAAAGAATACCCAAACCAAACACAATAACAAACTTTTTCAGAGCTTGGTTTAAACAAGTTAATTCTAATTTAATTTTGTTGTTGTTGTTTTGAGTTTTGTTGGGATTTTTTTTTTAGGTGCTGGTATTGGGGGCTTGAATTCAGGGCCTAGTGCCCATGCTTTTTTTTTTTGCTCATGGCTGGTGCTCTACCACCTGAGCCATACCTCCAGTCCACCTTTTTTTGCTAGTTAAGTGGATATAGTCTCTTGGAATTGCTTTGTACAGAATCTTCAGATCTCAGCCTCCTAAGCAGCTCAATTTACAAGCATGAACTACCTGAGCCTGTTATAATTCAAAATTCAAATGTATGGAAGACATCAGTAGGTATGAGTCTCTTGATATCCCAGTCTTGGGCAAAAAGCAGGGCAAAAAGTGAGACCCCGTGTGAAAAATAACCAAAACAAAAAAAGGCTGGGAACGTGGCGTATGTGGTAGAGTGCCCGCCTAGCAAAAGTGAACTGCCTGAGTTCAAACACTAGTAATGCCCCTAGAGATGAACAAAATCCCAACGGGAGGGAAGGGGAGTTTCTACAACGAGGCATCCTCAAAGCCCAGTCTCTCAGGGTCAATATTTGTGATTGAATTTGACTCAGAACGGACAAATCCATACAGAGGTGCTTTTTTGATTCTGCCTAACGACTAGGTTTCACCTTGGACTAGGGAGAGGGGTGAATGGAATCCTTCCGTTGCAAAGACAAATCCATCGGCCTTTTCTAATCCTCAGAAACCAGAGTCATTCCCAGGACCACAGGCACCCTGCCCCCCAGCACCCTGCCCCCCAGCACCCTGCCCCCCAGCACCCTGGCCCCCAGCACCCTGCCCCCCAGCACCCTGCCATCTCAACAGAGATCTGGTCTAGAGGTGCCCTCTGAGGAATAAAGTTAAAGGATTTCCTGTTTTCTGGATGATTTTGAAACATTTTAAAGGGACAAAGAGTTTAAACACAGAGCCAACAGGACAAGACCCACGATCGATCGCCACCGGAGTTTAAGGTTCTGTGGGTTCCTTCCTCTTCTGCTCTCTCCAGTGGTTGGGTGCGGGTTGAGACTCGGGGCGGGCGTTCCTGAGCTTGCACAGCTCTCTGGTTGGGACTGGGAAGTGCCAGGGTGAGTGCAGGTTGCCTGGCACGTGTCTCCCCGAGGAGGGCGGGCCCAGGTGCTGGGCGGGAGCCGCCAACGCCCCGGAGCTTGGATTCCAGGAGCGCGCAGTCAGCCCTGGCCAGGCTACTCTGTCCAGTTCCCCCGGTCGCCCGCGAGGCGCCCAGATTACATAAGAAGCTTTGGCTTCCAGGCAAAAGGGACAACTTTGGGCTGGGGACACCCAGGCCTGGGCTAACAAACAACCCTGCTCCTGACGTTTGTTCAGAATCCTCCCCGGAACAGTAGCTTCCTTGCTAACCGTACAAACCAGGACTGTCTTACACTGAGTTTTAAATTCTAACTAACCCTAAATACTCAACACAGACCCCAGAAAGAGTAGGTGTTAACACCCGAGTAGACTGAAACTATATCCTGGGCTAGCACTGGTAGCTCACACCTGAAATCCTAGCTATTTAGGAAGCTGAGATCTGAGAGAATCTCATCTCCAATTAACCATCAAAAAGCCAAAAGTGGAGGTATGGCTCCAGTGGTAAAGAGGGGAAGCTGAACAAGAGTTCAAGCTTAAGGGGGAGGGATGAGGAGGAGGAGGGGGGAGAAAGAGGAGGAGGAGGGGGGGGTGAAGGAGGAGGAGGAAGGGGGAGGAGGAGGAGGGGGAGGAGGAGGAGGAGGAGGAGGAGGAGGAGGAGGAGGAGGAGGAGGAGGAGGAGGAGGAGGAGGAGGAGGAGGAGGAGGAGGAGGAGGAGGAGGAGGAGGAGGAGGAGGAGGAGGAGAAGAAGAAGAAGAAGAAGAAGAAGAAGAAGAAGAAGAAGAAGAAGAAGAAGAAGAAGAAGAAGAAGAAGAAAAGAAGGAGAAGGAGAAGAAGAAGAAAATTGTCTTGGCCTCTCATCAGAGTTCTGGCTGGTTAGTCAGGAGGAGACTGAATCCTTTATCAAGGACTTCCGGTTCAATTCCTTTATCAAGGGTATTTTCTGCCCATCCACATGGTTATAACAGTACCAATGACAATTTGTTTCCAGAGCTTTCCAGTTTACATTATCCCCAATTACTCCTTTCAACCTCTTGATTAATTATCCTTATATTCCTGAGTTTCAGATGTAATAAAACTCAAATCTTTCAACCCCAAGCGTATACAAGAGCCATCATGAAAGATAAAAAGTCTCTTAAAATACATGATAGAATAGTTATAACTAATAATTACCTTTTAGTAGTATTCCACCACCCACCCCATACTCTAAACTTTTAGGTTCATTTCCTGGTTCTATCACAACAAATTAACATAGACCAATAGGTTAAAACAACAGAAGTTACTTTCTCATGGCGCAGGAAGCTAGAAGTCTGTAATCAAATTATGAGTAGAGTCCTGCTCCCTCAGCAGGGTCTAAGGGAGAATCCTTAAATATCTAAGATACCCTAATTCCTGATAGCTTCTGTATTGACAGGCCTTAGCATCTCTTGGTTCATGGCTGTATCCCTCTCGCCTGCCTCCATCTTCACACAGCCTTCCTTCCTCCATCTCTGTGTCCAGGTTTCCCTCTCTTTTTGTTGGGGGGGAGGAGGTCAGTCGTGGGGTTTGAACTCTGGGCTTAGGTGCTATGCTGTCCTTGCACTTTTTTACTCAAGACTAGTACTCTACCACTTTGAGCCATAGCATTACTTCTGGTTTTCTGGTTGTTAATTGGAAATAAGAAACTCACAGGCTTTTCTGCCTAAGCTGACTTTGAACCATCATCCTCAGATCTCAGCCTCCTGAGTCGCTAAGATTACAGGTGTAAACCACTAGCATCCATCTCCAAGTTTCCCTTTTATCAGGTCATCAGTCATACTTGATTAGGCCCCACTCTAATTGATTCTATCTGTAAAGACTTTAACTTTCAAAGGAACTTACCTTCATAGCTACCTGGGCCTAGATCTTTATCATATTGTCTTTTTTTTTTTTGGTTCTGGTCATGGGGCCTGAACTCTGGGCCTGCGCGCTCTTCAGCTCTTCAGCTCAAGGCTAGCACTCTACCACTTGAGCCACAGCGCCACTCCCAGCTTTTTTCTTTTTGCTTATGTGGTGCTGAGGAATCGAACCCAGGGTCTCGAGCATGCAAGGCAAGCGCTCTACCACTGAGCCAACTTCCCAGCCTGTCTTTATCATATTGTATCTATCAAGAAGACACATTTCAATCCACAACTCCAACTATCAGCCACTACAAAGTGACGGTATTTTTAGCACGATTATGTTTATTGCAGCATTATTTACTATAGCTAAGATGTGGAACCCACCCAGATGCCCCTCAGTAGATGAATGGA